AAGTAAAATGTTTCATATCAATTAAATTTTACACTTCACTATACTGGATGTTTGATCATGCTTAAAAGTAGTAGTTAACTACAGACAATTTATTTCTAAGTTGCTAGGACATGTAAACAAAAAAAAAAAATTGCTATTTATAAGCACGATCGAATAAATTTGAACTCTATTTTTGATCCTCCGATAATAGTGAAGACTATTCATATAACACATACCTCACCTAAATATAAACATCACCACCAACAAGAGCTTGTGATATAGATAAGAAAAGATATGTGCATAAAAATTATATATATAATGAAAGATATACAAAGTAGAACATGGAACATATAATTAAATCACTTATATATTGTTTAAATTATGATAAGTGGTTCTTCCATTAATGAAAAGATTACTATTTCTTGAAGGCTTAAAAATTAATCACCTATCTTTGTCTCGAGCAACTAAAATTTTATTATGTTCTTGGTTTTGACTACTATTTAATTTATTATTTTTTAATACTTAATGAAGCTTATAATACTAACTATTTTACAAGTTGGTACTCCAAGATATTATTAAAAATATTCTCTACTAATGATCGTCACAATATATAAAATTAGAGATTAATTCTAGGTCATGAATGAACTTTTTTTGGGAAAAACTAAGTGATACTATGAGCTGTGGCCCGCGGACTCATTTTGTGTATGCCAAAAATGAAAAGCATGTTATAATCATTAATTGTAACTCTAAAGTGATATGATTTTTTTTCTTAATTATACCAATTAATCTTGTGGTCTTCAAGTCGTCAATCGATTTTTTATATAATGATGATATTTTAATGAAAATGATAATAAAAATCCTACATCAGAAAACTTCAACGGAGTTTTGATGAAACTTAAAGTTTAAATTTTTAGATGATTTAAGAGACACGATACAACTGCCATAGATCACATGCTCTAAAATTAGGGTCTCATCAAAGTCCAAACTCTTCAACCATATCAAGAGTCACCTCCTTACGTGAGTATAAATGCCTTGCGACCCAATTATAGATATTTTAAGCCCTCGCTAATCACGTCCATTCCCTTTGAGAATCAGTCCCAATATTCCAAACTTTACCAATATATATATGTCAACTGTGATTAATTATCAGATCACGACCTCCAAAAACAATATGCTAAATTTCAATCGTCTATTTAACTAATGATGGAATGTTTAATGAACGTAGCATCGAAATCACAGTACTCGAAATATTTTTGGCCACTGCTTTTTGGGAAAACAACTCTTCCCCACCCAACCCCTTCCAGTGCTAAGTGTGATCAGTACTGCTATAGTTTATTGCAAGATAATGAAATTAAGAAAAGTTGAAAGAGTTTATTAAAGAAACACATGGAATTGAAAGGGACTCCTATTAGGAGCCACAACTATCATGTTTATTTGACTAATCATTTACTCCTTAATATATAAACATTTTTATAATACATTGAAAAAGATAAACTACCACTCTTAAATAATTAAAAAAAATCGAGTCAAATCAATCAAGTTGAGAAACAAGATATTGTTTTTCTATGAAGTAACATAAGATATTGTCCGATAATGCACCTTTGTTTCGGCCTGTCCACGTAGGAAGTATTACAAATATTATTGCAATAAATCTAAACTTTCTGAAATGATGCATTCATTACATTAAAAAGAACACCGATCTAGAATCACTACGAAGTTACATGCCGATAATTAATTAGGAGTATGGGTATGTAACATAAGTGATTCATATATGTGCGAAACATGATATACACGATTTTAGAGCTACATTTGTGATTAAAAACCTTTAACTTCTCAAAATATACATGCAATTATTTCTTAAAATTCACCTATTCTAATCATTACACAGTTTTTGCCTTCAAAAATAATATAAGATTCTTGGATGCAGTAACACAAATTTCACCATCGTGACAAACAAATGTATATGCATTAAGTCAAGGTTAGAGTGTATCATCCCTCTCTTGTGAATATCGTTAGGTCTAGAGTATTAACAAAGTTGTGTGTCCAAAATATCATTTAATCGAGTTGAGTTTAGGGTTGAGTTGTTGGGTATTGGGATCATCATTGAAAGGACTCAATAATGGCACAATAAGATCAAGTAATGTTCAAAAGCGCTCGAGCAATTTTTGTAGAAGTTCACTTGAGCAATTGTGTTATTTAAAAAAAAAAACCCTAATTTGAGATTTTCAAGCTTTTTACAATCTCAAACAACCCATATGTTAGGTTTCTCAATTGTATTGGATATTCTTTAAATAAAAGGATTATTATAAAAGAATTGTAAAAGTCAAGGAGTTTGTTGGAATGTTGTATAGATGAACTAGGAGTCTTTGAGCTCGAGTATGGAACGTGGAGAAAGAGTCGTTGGAATTATGTTAGTCTATCACTAAGTTGATGCTCGAAAGTCCAAAACAGAATCATTGTCGCCCGCTTGTTATTTGAGCGATAAACCTGTCGCTTGCCTGGAGCTCAAGCGATGATGTTTTCCAAAAAACAATAGTTCACGATTTTGAATAGTTCTATCTATCATATTTTACCTCAATACCTCTCTACTATAAACACACAAGCAATGTGCAGGTAGTCCGCATCTTCACAGATATGTCTACTTCACCAAATCTCTTTTTGAGACAATGCCTAGATCAAACAATAATTCTACATCTTAAGATCAATCAACCACAAGTTGAAAAAAATATCAAAATCATATAATCCAAAACACCCATTTCCTAAACATAATCAAGAAGGTTCTTTCTCAATAGCATTTAGAGGTTGCTGAAGATTGAGGAAGATTGAACCAGAAGCATAAGAAGAATACAAGAACAAGGTGTAGCGATCCATAGGAGATAGATAATTCTAGAAAATCAGGAGCATGTGTGAGTGGGGCACGTTCCAACGAGTCTTGGAGATTGTAGGAATTAAATCAACGAATCTAGTAAGTTTTTTAGACTAGATCATACTGTAAGTTCTTATTGTTTATAGTGGAAGTCATTAGCTTGGCCCTGAAATTTTTAATTCGGTGAAGGATTTTCTTCGTCAAAAATTCTGTGTAATAGACTACTTATTTATTATCTGTGGTATTCAAACTTAGGATAAATTGACTTAATTGCCCTAAAAATCTAAAAATAATTAAAAAGTGACTTGTTGCTTTTAACTGTGTAATTTCGCACATTGGGTCTAAATAAATTGATCGTCTAAACTTTCATCATAGTACTCTCTAGTACTATAAATACCAATGAAAATACATCCTATTGAAAAACACACATTGGTTACAATAATTCTCTTGCATCAACCACAAGATCTAATCACCAAAATATCAAAACACCAATAAATCCTCTAACATATATCCTTCAGAGTTCTTAAAATCCTGATAGGGGACCGAGTTCTGGTTAGTGAAGAATGAGTTCATTCTTGATGATTCACAAGGGAAAAAAGTCCAGAGGATTTGGAGTTGGTGCTGAAGACAAGCACACAAACAAGGAGTTTTTCAGTGATTATAGGTTGGGGTTAGAGTCTACAAAAGTTTAGTTGTGTCTAAAACAATTCTGTAAGTTCAATTTTTTCTAATGGATAATGTGCTGACATGTGTATCCGGAGATTTTCCCTTGTAGAGTTCTTTAAAGATTTTCCCTTGAAAAATAATTCTTGTTGTTACTTACTTTTATGCTTTTATATTTTAGAAGGTGTTTGGTAGGGATTAAAATTAGTTTTTTTAGTAGATTGTAATAAAATTTTTGAAATGTGTGATTGAAAAGTTGTGGAACTCATAGAAAATGTGGTTAATATTAATTATTTGATTTTGACTTAGATTAAAACCATATTTTAATTCAAATCAAACGGGCTCTTAATAATTTATGATTGAATAATTGCTAGGCTTTAAATTAATTTTAATTCATGTAGATTTAATACTTCACGACTTGTTGCAAGTAATTGTTAGCCCCCGATTACATTTCAATTTTCTCTCTCCTATTTTTAACCATACAATCTTTCATAAAATAATATTATACGTAAATAGAAAATTTTCCCTTTTTTTTTTTCAAACACTCATTTTTCAAAAAAACATTATTCCATTCATTTTCATTTCCCTAAAATGAGGGCCACACGGGTCTTGAGTTAAATTTAAGTTTCACTATTACATCTATCCACCCTCTCATGGTGTTAGTTAGGTCAATCTCGTTTATTATAATTATGTTGGAAGGGCTAACATGATGTGCATATCAAATCACACCTAGAACTTGATTATAAGCACTTTTTTCCTCATGCGCTTAGGCCCTGTTTGAGCTGTATTCTTTCAAAAAAATACATTTTTAAACAGTAATTTGACATAATTTTAACAACACATTTTTCAATAAAATAATATTACATGCAAATTCAAAATTTTTTCTCATTTTTTAACCACATATTTTTCATTAATCTAGTATTCCAAAATAATGTAACTCAAACGTACACTTAATCACATAAACAAGTCACGATAGGACACTCAACCTATGAAAGAAGAATTAAGCTAGAGAAGCCTCCGGGGTACAGTTCAACTGGTGGATCAATCAACATTGGCTTGCTTCCAGCGGAAGGGTGGAGAGTTCGATTCCTGGTGGGAACTTGCGATCAAAAAATCGGTATGGAGCAATCACTGTGGAGGAGAATCTCTTGTGCGCAAAAGTGTACAGCCAATGGAGGAACCTATGATCCAATTGAGGCATAATCCGCAATTTACCGCCTTCAAGTTTCTAGGGGCATGAGTTTTGGAGGTCCAAGATTTATTTTGGTGTAAGTTAGGATGCCTGGATATCAAAAAAAAAAAAAAAAAAAAAAAAAAACTGGAAATCCAAAAAAAAAAAAAAAAAAGAATTAAGCTTCAGAAATATTTTGATAGAAAGTTTGACAGAGACTGAGGGTGCATGCGGCCTCAATATCTGTGAAAAAATTGTACAAGCAGCAGGTTAAACAAAGAATTAATCCTCTCTTGCATTGAGTGGTATTAATTATGGGACAGGCAGAACAAATTATCAGGCAATGACACGTGTTACGCATATGTCTTCTTTGTTATGGAAAAATATGCATGGCTCCCACTTCACCTGCATAAATACCAGCCATCTTCATTTGATTTTTTGCAGGTGAGTTAGCTTCATATGTCACTTGGTTTCATATAATTTTCTTCTTTTTGGATCCTCCCAACTGTATGGATAAGAGAAATTTTCTGCACACATACATATAAACAAAAACACTCATATTTGCTTCATAATTCTGCCCCAACTTTGTACTTATTCCTTCTTCCTCAAAAATCCTTTTATTGTGCTGATTTTTCTGCAGCAGTTCGCCCAGTCAGCTCAAGCAGAAGGTATATATACACATATAAATATACATATTTATATTGCCTGTTTGATAGAGATGATCAGAGAGCACTATATCTAGAAGTGTTCATTATATTGTTCTATCTTCTCCAGTACACTGCTCCAAACATGAACTATCTAGATACTATATTGTTGTTCTTGGGCGTGTTGGAAAGAAAATCAATGCCGTATATTATTAAATCGAAAAAGAAGTTAAAATCTTGTTTTTACAAAAATGCACTTAGTGGTCCACGATACTGTTTTCTCACGCTAGTGCATGATCGAAAGAAAACTTCTGACAGCTAGTTTTCTTTTTTCTTAACTTTTCCATAATTTTTGACTGATTTTGCCACTTTGTGTAAATGAAACAGGAGTACTGAATATAAATGAGGATCTCATTTTCTGCCTGCAAGCAAGCACAGCCTCTGCGGGTGAATAATCCCGGGGGGCTAAACATGGATCAATTTATTCTGGGCCGGTGCCGGAAGGACAAGGTGGTAATAGTAATGGGAGCCACCGGCACCGGAAAATCAAGACTCTCGATCGATCTAGCCACCCGTTTTGATGCGGAGATTGTGAATTCAGATAAAATGCAAGTTTACAAAGGCTTAAACATAATAACCAATAAAGTGGCAGAAGAGGAATGTAGGGGAGTCCCTCACCATTTGTTAGGAATAGTTGATCCTGATGCAGACTTTGCAGCCGTCGATTTCGTGAATCATGCATCGACCGCTGTTGATTCGATTACGAGAAGCGGTCGGGTGCCTATCATTGCTGGAGGGTCTAATTCTTACATCAAGGCTTTGGTGAATGATGACATGGAATTCAAGTCAAAGTATGAATGTTGTTTCCTATGGGTGGACGTATGGATGCCTGTCCTTCACTCGTTTGTATTGGAAAGGGTCGATAAAATGGTGGATGCTAGTTTGATCGATGAAGCAAGAGAATTCTTTGACCCTGAAGGTAATTACTCACGCGGGATCAAACGTGCTATTGGATTATCAGAACTAGATGAGTTTTTTCGAAATGAGTCATTTCTTGACTATGATAAAAGGGCCAGGCTCCTTGAGGATGCTACTGATAAAATTAAGGCAAACACATGCAAATTGGCTTGTCACCAACTACAAAACATTCTTAGGCTTCGAAATCAATCAGAGTGGCACATTAACTATTTGAATGCAACCGAAGCCTTCCTCAAAAGGGGCTTGGAATCGGTTGAAGCTTGGGAAAGGCTTGTGGCCAGGCCTGCCACCAGAGTCGTGGACCGCTTTCTATGCGAAGATGACGTCAATTTCATGTCAGCAATCGCTTTGCCACCTCCTATCTATCAAATCATGTAAATGCCTCAAATCATTCTAAACACCTATTAAGTTTCCATTCTTTTCTCATTAAAATGAAAAATTTGATCGTTATCCATTACATCAAACCACCAAATTTGAATTTCTATCTCTTGTGTGGGGTCTATAACGACTATATTTTTCATTTTCATTGTTCCAAAAATGAGGAGTAAACGGGGACACTATTAGTTATTTTATCCCTGGTCTTCAATAGTACTTACCAAACACACGTACGTCTTTGTCATCCCATTCGATTCCACCAGTTCAGGATAAGTATTCATGCACGGGACATGGCAAGAGTCAAGTCGACCTACCACTTATCCTATTTTCTACCTTTGCAAAGGTTGCTGTCAGGTAGTTAAGTACCTAAAATATGGGTGGCCGTAGAATACGAAGCGTTTTAGAAATCCGTGTAGGGAATACTTTGTCTCCCCCTTTTTGGCACTGTATATGCAGTGGACTGCTTTGGATTATTCCCATATTTATTTATTTTTTTTAATCTAGGTATCCCAGTTTACACCAGACTAAATCTTGGACCTCCAAGATCCATGCCCCTAGAATCTTGGAGGGGGTAAATCGCGAGTTATGCCTCAACTGGATCACAGGTTCTCCCCATTGACTGTACACTTCTGCGCACAAGAGACTCTCCTCCACAATGATTATTCCATACCAAATTTTTTGGCTTCAGGTTCCCACCAGGAATCGAACTCTCTACCCTGTCGCTAGAAGCGAGCCAATGTTAATTGATCCACCAATTGAGCTGTGCCCCGGGAGGCCAAATGGATTATTATATATGTACCTGTAGTAGTCTTGGCAAATTGTAAGCACTTTGTGGGGGTGCGGGGAATTGGTCAAAATAAAACTTCAATAAATTATGTAAGAAAGGTGAACTGCATTTTAGGTTTTACTTTTTTCCTTTTTTATTTCATCTCCCCTTTTTGGCACTGTATATGCAGTGGACTGCTTTAGCAAATGGATTATTCTATATGTACCTGTAGTATAATCCTTTGCAAATTGTAGGCACTTTGTGGGGGGGGGGGGGTTGAATTGGTCAAAATAAAACTTCAATAAATTATGTAAAAAAGGTGAGCTGCATTTTTGGTTTTATTTTTTCCTTTTTTATTTCATGTATTTTTTTTCTAAAATTTTTGTGAGTGCCCCTTGTGTAAATTTAATGTCTGCACAGGCTATAATATTTTTGATTTGACAGGTCTATTGTGTTTGTGCGTGTTTTGGGATTGGCATATCATCTTTGTTCTTTGAATTTTTTCAAGAACTTTCTGTTTTTGAAGTTTAAGCATCTAATTCTTCACGGAATACACTTTTTATGCAGCAAATCATAAAAATACAAGAAAATTGGTGAATTCCAATTGTTGTACACAAAATATTTGATGTTTAAGAGTTACTTAGAAGTAAACCAAAAAAATTAAAAATTAAAATTAAAATTAAAATTAAAAATTAAAAAAATTAAAAGTACATATTTACTTAAGCATAGCAAGAAAATGTTGTAATCAGATAATGAATTGAACATGAGTAATAGTATTCATCACCATTGATATTAAATATGACATGACATTAAATGAGTGACTTTTGTGGGTTTTATAGACTTTTAAAGACTTCTATAGACCTTTTTTTTTTTTTTTAAATGAGTTACTTTTATGAATTTTATGGACTTTTAAGTAACTTCTACGGATTTGCCAAGAATTAGGAATCTGTTTGATTGCAAAGATGGAATTGAATTGCCTAAAAAACGAATTTCAAATAATTGAATGGTCTAGAAATTATTTTCTTGAGAATTGTAAATTATTATGTTTGATTGTTATACTTTTTCACGTGAAAAATGTTGAAATAAAAGCGTTTTTTGGTGTTTGTTTGATTTTATTTTACATAAAAATTGTCAATCAAAGGGATATAATTTACTGGTAATGGAGAGGAAATTTGTTCCCATTGCCAAAATAAAAAAAATCATCTATCTTTTAGTGTTCATTTAGCCTTATTTTACATGAAAATTATCAATTAAAAGAAAATATTTTTTTATAATAATTCTTAGAATTTGTTTCCATTACCAAAAATAAAAAAATAAAAAAATCGTAAAAAAGCTACAGTAACCGGGAATGGCAATTCCTTGAATTCATGAAAAATGGCTTATGTGGCACCAAAGATAGAAATTCAATTCTATGTAAAAAAAAAAATGGATATCAAACAAGGTTAAAGTGGAAGATGGAATTGAAATTCCATTTTTCATGAAATTTCAATGGCTATCAAACACTACCTAATAGAAGTCTTCCATGGATTTCTGTAGACTTTCATTAAAGATTTTTAAAGACTTTTCATTTTGCAAGTTCATTATATACCTTGAAAGTTATAATCTTTCTTACTATCTAATTAGTATTTTTGAAAATCATGATACCCACAAAATTTTCTTGGGAAGAGTTAGTAGTCATGGCCCAGTCATTCAATTTTGGCACAAAGAACGTAATAAAATTTTTTTTCACCAATTTCTAAGAGCATAACCAAATTTTTTTTACGATATTAACATAATTGCTAAGAACGCAATTGTTCTTAACAAAAAAATAAAAAAGATCGATTACATGAAATTCTACATTTTGAAATAGTTGCATATAATTTTAATTCAAGAGTAATTATACATATAGAATAATCATAAACTGATTATAGCAAATGAATTGAAATGATATGAGAAAATCCTAGAATTGAAAGAAAAATTACTTTTTTTTTTTTTGCTCTGAAATCTTCACAAATCTCATAGTTGTATATGAGAGATTCTCTTTGATATTTGCTATTTATATTTTCACCAAAAAGTCTCCAGAAGTCTAGTAAATAGAAAATTCTCCAAATTCACTATTTATTTGAATAACTCATGATAAGATAGAGATTTCTAAAAAGTTTCAATTGAATATCACGTGACTTTTAAAGACTCTTTAAAAGTCTACAAAAGTCCCCAATGAATACACTTAAACTTTTAGAGTCTTTAAAAATCTCAATTGAATACATCTAAACTTTTTAAATTCTTAAAAGTCTTTAGTCTTTAAAAGTTACAAATGAATACACCCTCTTAAATAATAGGTTCATCCTTATGCAAAGTTATATAAATCATTTAATTGAACATATAAAGTATTGTTACCGAGATTGATAATCTAGTATCAGTGATGTTAAATAGAATTACTCTTTGAAAATTTGATCCAAAGGGAATACTTTGAAACTTTTGAAGAATTAAATGTTTATCTCTCTTAATTTTTCATGATTTTAATTACGACTTTTGGGTTTCCAATGAGTGAAAAGTTATCTTTTCAGAATTATTCTTTTTGGTTCTTTTGGTGTCAAAACAAAACTTCATTCATTAACTTTTCAAGATTCACTTATTGACGCCAAAGTTTCTTTGTTGAATAGAAAAATGAAATTGAGATTCTATCGAAGTAATGAAAATTATAATGCATGAAATTGAACCAAAATGCAGAATTATTAGACATATTTAGCAGCAAAAAACACAAACTGTTTCGCTCGGATAGTCGCTAACAATTATAAAGGGATCAGACGATTGTGTAAGGAACAAACCTTTTGAGACAAAATCCCAAAAATGGGTGGTTTATTGACGATGACTTTACAATTGGAATTAAACAGAATGTCTCCAAGGGGTGCAAGCACACGAGTACTGAAAATAAATGTTTAAATCTAAATTAAGAAATTGAAATTACATATTCTCTATTTGAGAGTGTTTGATTCGGGGTTTTTTTGCTCTATGTCTTTTCTTCCTTTTATATTCCCTTAATAATCTCTTCGTGACCAACCGCTTAGAAACTGTTTAATTGCTTTATAACTGCCCACTTTCTTCATGGTGGCCAACTTTTCGTGGAACTGCCATCTCTAATTGCTGCCACTACTCTTTGTCATTCAACCGTCTTCAACTGAACTCCTTGAATCGTGGAACGTGATAAGATTACTTAATAACTGCTTCGATAACTGCATTTTTGGGTAACCATAACATCTTATATTTGTTAAGATCTCGGGCGATTCGAAGGTTCGTGCGAGAACAGGGTCATAACCCTGGGTGACTATAAGGTACTTCATTCGCTCAGATTTTGGGCGTCTTACAAGTTTGGACGATGGTGTTACCGTATTCGTGGGCTTCCACTGCATTCATTAATAACTCTATTTGAGCCTTTATTCTGAATTGCCCAGTTGGACTTCATTATTTGGGCTATTCGATTTGGGCTGCACTTTTAGCGTGTCAACAATTACCTCCCAATATGACAGAATTAATACCAATTATTAATTTTTGTCATATTCACTTTGTGTTTCCCAACAACATTTGAAATTCCCAAGAATTTCAATCATTATTTTCTTCCATAGCCTGAAAAGGCGCGACGTTGCAAACCTTTATAACTCCCAAATACACGCCATTTTCATCGCACCACTAAATCACGCCTCATTGTTTCGCGCTTCTCTCTCGCAATATTACTGTCCATCTTCTTGCTTCTCTGCTATGTTTTTCAAGCAAACTTTAACAAAATTTTATTTCGTTCCCAATGACTGTTTCACAATCCCAATCTGGTGACTTTTTCAGTTTCGAAGACTTCCAGAAAATTCTCAATCGGCCATACATAACTCCGAACTTCCATGCACCAGCCAATGCCGAACTCAATGAGTTCTATCTAAGTCCTTCATTCAACAACACCGAGGCCGTCGAACAAGTAGCGGTGGGCCAGCTGTTCCCTTGTACTCAAGGCCCTCCGTTTCTAAACTCTTTGCCGCTGAGGCCGCTTCGCGAAAGAGGTATTCGCATTTGGCCTAAATCTGATGTTGTTTTCCATAGATGACATGCTCGCCTTGTGTGTCATGGTCCTACCAAGACAATTTTTAATAGTGCTAGGACTTCTGATTTGTTAGAAATCTCTCTTCAACCCCCTATTTTTGATCCAGGGTTTTTTCCTATTGTTTTAAGTTTTTGGTCCTTTGAATTTAATACTTTTGTTTTCCCTCTTGGTCTCATGTCTATTACTTTAAAGGATGTTGGGGCATTAATAAATCTGTTACCTTTGGGCGATACCATTTTCCTTGGTGGTGTCGCCCCAAAATTTGACAGAAAACTCACCGAGTCCTATTCAAGCCTGCAAAACTGTTATAATCACTAGAGCGCTGAGCCTTCTCATGCTGAACGTGTGGCTTTTCTTCAGATTTGACTTTGTAAATCTATTTTGTGTGTGCCAAGCATGAAGCCTTCTATGAGCTATTTACACATAGCGCACGAATTGGCGCGTGGTAGGCCTCTGAATTTGTGTTCTTTCTTTTTGGCTGTCCTCTATAGAGGCATAACTTCTCTCCAATTTCAATTAAAGAATGGTGCATCTCCCACTGGCAATGGACCTCTTTGGTTCACTCAAATGTGGTTGAGAGCCTATTTTCCATCACATGGTGCTCTATCCTTTCCCTTCATTCTGCTAGCTGCTATTGATCCACTGAGTCCTGTAAATATGTCCAGAAGGGATATCTTTTCATTCTTTTATACTTTGAATTCAATTCCTTCTTTCTTTCCTTTTCCTCCCTTTTTAACTCCAGATTATGTACAACATCCATCCACCCTGGACAGTGCGAGCACCTCTCTACTCGTTTGGGTTCAGCTTTTGACCGGAAGGGAGTTGTTCCATGATATTTTGACAGGAACCAATGCCAAAACTGGGGTTGAAATATATGCTCTCCAATTTTTTTCTCGTCAACTTGGTTTTTGCCAAACTTGGCCTGTTCCCCCTTGTTATTCAAGAAATTTGATAGATCGCTTCCACGCCATTAATAAGGCAGATGCAGAATGTTGTCGATTTTATCCCGCAAGTGAACAGATCGTAATAAGTAGTAAAGTGGACCTTTTGAGTTCAGATTATCATTCCTACAAGGACTGTACTTTTAATACCCAATTTATTATTTCTAACTTCTATTTGACGAAAATAAACAAAAACAATGATTAAATGTGATTTTTATTCTAAAAACTTAAAAATGCGATTGGATGTAACGAAAAGTGATTGAGAATTCAAACAATAAATGGACGTTAGGGCGGAATAATTTCACCTATTGGTCACCTTTAATTCATAAATCAAGATTCATAAAACCTAAGGTAGTGTTTGGTCGAATTCTTCTATTATATTCAACTCACCCCTCTCGAGTTCTCATTGAGCCTATTTAATTAGTTTAATTCCATATCTCTATGCAAATTAAATTTAATTAAATGAAACATTGGTTCTAAGAATTCACACACGATCGCAACAATCAATATAGGTATCTCTACACGTTATACCAATTTACCGAATTTTAACATGTGATCTAAACAAATAATCTGCATCTCTATGCAATCATTGTTCACAAATCATTTAATTAGTGATCAAGTAATTAAATGTATTAAGAACAACATTAAAATCAACACATAAAATATAAAAGCACTAGAATCTCAATTGTATTAAATAAAGGATTCCAAAAGATTACATTGTTCGCCCTAAAATCAAATTTAACTATTCATAATAATGGAAGAAAAATAGGAAATTCTCTTAGAATACATCATCGGATTTGTAATAAAGATGTAGAAGAAAAAGTGGAATTCTTGCATCAAGATCTCCTTCCTCTTCCAATGAATGCTTCCAATCTTCAATTCTTAGTGTTAATCTTCTTGAATTTCTCCTTTGAGTCTTCCTTCTTGTTGTTTTCTCTCCAATATGTCAAGAACGCGTGGCTTGATTCCAAGGATTTTTAGTGTGCGGCTCCCCCCCTAATTTAGGTCTTCCATTCTGTGTTTCTAATGTCTTGGAGTTTAGGGAAAGATTTGGAGATGAGTTGGGCCAAAAAAGAATGTTAAAAACCTAAAAAAATTACTCTCGCACGACGGCGCCTGGGCTCTGGGATTTGGGTGCCTAGGCACTAACTTCTGTCAAAATTTCAGCATCATGGCCCCTGGGCGCTAAGGGATAGCGCCTGGGCGCTGAGAACTACTTCGGTTGCACTGGATAGCTTTCAGTATTTTTATCATAATTTTTCCATTCGATATTCGATTGAAGTGATTCAAGATGCGTTGGAAAGATAATTCAAAGGACTACAATTTTTTTTCAGAAATCATTCTCCAATTCGATCTTTTTCTATGTCAAAAATGAGTCTAAATGTGAGACGAAAACTCGAGCGCAAAACTTTTTGGTTGGAAAATGATTAATGATCATATCTTAACTAAATTTGATCCCTTTGACACCTTCCTTCATTCAATTGGCTTCTAGAACTCTTGGACCTTCATTTCAAGTTTCGACACGACTTTTGATTAATTGCATTTTAATCCTCGAACTTTGGATCTTTTACATTTTGGTCATTTCATCCAATTTCGCTAGCTTTTGCCTATTTCCTTCCTTTGACCTCTTTTAACTCTTGTTTTCTCCAATTCCATCAATCTACAAAACAACACCAAAATCACTTGTTAGCACTTCTAAAATACTCTCCAAGATAGCAAAATCATGAAATTAATGGCATAATATAATAAATGTAAATCACTCATCAAACACCCCCAAACTTAATCTTTTGCTTGTCCTCGAGCAAACACCAAAACCCATAAAAATAATAAATGGACACACAAGCACAACCAAGACAAACAAAATCACTTAAAATAAATTTCGCTAGATAGCTTGCCTTCATGTCTTAGAATTAATAACATAACTTCGATTCCATGAACCACTTAAAAGCTAGACTGCAAAAGTTACATTCTCACTTATTCAATGCAAAACGGGTGTTTGTGTGGAGAGTCAAGTGCAACGCTGTACAATAATAAGTTAACCCAATTCCCGACCTTAGAAGTCAAATTTTTCCTTACTTTGCTCGTGGGATTCACACACCCCCAAACTTATTTTCTTTTCTCTTTCCAAGGGTGTAACCTCAGGTTAAATTTTCAATACTAATTTCTTAAACCACTCAAGTTTGGTTAGATTTTACTGATTGTAGTTCCCCACGTCAACAAATGAGAATTCTCCTTATTTTTGACTGCTTCAATCTCTAGGAATCAGCCAAGTTACTAACCCCTTATCAAAGGTCTAATCCTCTAAAACAAGTGTTCAGGGTTTAATCAAGGCATCTGATATCTATTTTTTCTCTTTTTTTTGTTTTCTTTGTTTTTTTCATATATATCTTTATTCTTTAATCACTCTTTGTCCGGATGTCTCTCCCTTAAGCTTTCTAAATGACCCCTGTAGCGGGTTTCAAGCCGATGACTCCCAAATCAGATGACTTTAGGGCACCAGGTTTTAAACCCTTACAGGCTTAATCACTCGAGTCATAAAGGCTACGAAGAGACGATTCACAATGAGATTATTAAAGTTGTCCTCATTGGGATCTTTTTTTTCTTTTTTTTTATATGGTGATTAGTGTAATGCCCTTTATTAAACACCTATCCTCGAAAATCGACCTCTAACTTAAGATTTTCACCCAATTTTCATCCCATTAGTCTCAGACAGTCCACACAAAAATTAACACACATGAAATCCACATTTATCTCCAAGTTTCCCTACAACAGTGCAATCACCCAAACGTCTAAAGTTTGGTTTAAGGGTATTGTGATTTTTAATGGTTGTTTGGATTTAGCATCTAAGTTCTCTATTTCAACCTATAAACGTGAATCAACATACTCATGCACAACGCTACAATCAAATAACGTGCAAAAAATAATTTTCGTTTCACAAGAATAAGCAAAAATCTAACTCAAACACATAACTCGTCCACAATTCATAAATCAACACTTGTTTTCAATTATACATATCAATACCGGCAAGGTTATCTAACACAAACAAGCATGCAAAAATACGAAATGAATTTTTTTTTAATAAAAACACAAACACATAAAATAAGCAAATCACACATAAGCATTCGAGAAACTCAACAATGTAAGCAAATGATATCACTCCCCCAAACTTAACTGAAACATTGTCGTCAATGTGAAATTTAAAGGAATAAGAGGAGGACTTCCCTGAAATGTCAATATTGCCTATGATGTTGTGGTGTCTTGGTGTTGCATTTGATTGACTCTTCTTCTACATTTTCTCCCAAACTTGAGATTTATCCCATTTTCTCCATGTCCATGTTGGTTTGAGTGTTCAGTGATGTCATGTTTCTGAAAAATTAAATTTGAAAAATTAAACTCATGGAACAAGGATTACTTAGCTCAAACATCTAATAACCAACTTAATTACTCCAAGACCTATGGGTAGAAGGTGTATGGGTGATGATTCCTAAATAAACTATAAATTAAACTATCTTAGAACTTTGAAAACAAAATAAATAAAATAAAATAAAATAAAATAAAAGCTTCGGTTGCCTCCCAAGAAGCGCTTCTTTTAAGTCATTAGCTTGACTTGTGCCGCTAGTTTATCATGGTGGCTCAAACCAAGTTATTCCATCATTGCACTCTGTGCAATTTTCATTGATGTGGTCCTTTTTTGCTCTCCAAATTTTGATTTGTCCATTCTTATCTCTACCAAGAAGTTCTCCAAAAATTTTTTTTTTATTCTGACAGCTTCGTTGATAAGGTAGCTCTTCTTCATCAATTCTATAGCAATCATTTTTATTGAGAGGTTTCTCATATTGGATGTAAATATTGAATATCTCCTGCTTGTCCTCCACCCTCAAGATTAGTTCTCCCTTCTCCATGTCAATAAGAGTTCATCCCGTTGCTAAGAATGGTCGACCCAATGTAATTGGAATGTCTCGATTTTCTGGTATGTCCAATACAATGAAATCCACAGAAAATATTAAATTTCCCACTTTGACGAGTATATCCTCAACGTTGCCACGTGACCTTGTGATTGTTCTATCAGGGAGTTGTAGCATTATTGATGTTGAGTTGACTTCACCTAGTCCTAATTTCCTGTAAGCAGAATACGACATTAGATTGATACTAGCACTAGTGTCACACAATGTATTAGATGAATAGGAATTTCCAATTGAAACTAGTAAAGTAAAACTCGCTGGATCCTTCAATTTAGGAGGCAATTTTCTCTGGACTCTTGCACTACTTTCCTCAGTTAATGCCACGGTTTCAAACTCCGAAATCTTTCTTTTCTTTGTCAACATCTCTTTCAAAAATTTCTTATAGCTTGAAATTTGTAGTATTGCATCTATGAACGGAACATTGATCTGGAGCTTCTTGAGAACATCGAGGAATTTTTCATAGTTTGTGTCTTGTTTATTCTTCTTGAGCTTTTGAGGAAAGGGAATGGGAGGCATGTAAGCTTTGTTTAGACTTGGTGCTTTGGCAGCTGATGTTTCTGTACCTTCTCTATTTTCAGTTGCATTTGGTGCAGATTTTTCTACCCTTGTAACTTCATCAATCACTTCTTGGTCATCTTTTCTTTTGGGTCTCTCTGTAGTAATCTCTGGTGATTGTACCTCCCTCTTTGTATTTATGACATGAATATTTTGCTCCATTGACTTCTTTCGAAGTCTTTGGGAAAACGGAAGTGGAGGTACATATGCTTTAACTTTTACGGGGGCCCTGAGTGGATCATTCTCCACTACTTCAATTGCCATCAACTGTTCCTTAGGATTTATCATTGTATTGCCTGGCAATGTCCCTTGTGGACGTTCTGCAATTTTTTGTGCTATATGACCAATTTGTGTCTCCAGTTTTTTGATGGGTGCCTGCTGATTTTAAAAGTTCGTATCAATTTGTTGGAACACCTTGTCCGTCTTCTGCACATATTGTTGAAACATCTCTCCCAAACTTGGTCTTCTTTCTTGTTGGAAATTGTTACCATATGAGTTGAAATTACGGGAGTTATTTTGAATAAAGTTTACTTGTTCCTCTGAAGAAGTGAGCATCATGCAGCTCTCTGTAGCGTGATTTCTCCCACAATTCTCACATACTGAACTGGCCATCATTGCATTTGCTCCATGTGTTTGCAATTTGACAAGTAGCTCTACCTGTTTTGTTAAAGCTGCTATCCGTGCATTGGTAGATGTTGTGCTGTCTAATTCACACATTCCTGCTGCCTTTGGTGGTACCACTCTTTCTGATGAGAACATTGAATGTGTGGTGGCAATTAACTCAAATAGGTCCATGGTTTGTTGCACTGATTTCCCTATGATTGATCTTCCAGCAGAGGCATCAACTTGAGATTTTGACAATGGTGTAAGTCCGGTGTAGAAGTACTGCACTTGGTTTCCTTGAGTGATTCCATGGTTTGGACAATTTCTCATTAGCTCATTAAATCTATTCCATGCCTCGTGATAGCTTTCTCCCTCTTTCTGTTGAAAAGTTTGAATTTCCAATTTGATTTTAGCTACTCTGGCTGGTGGGAAGAATTTGTTACAGAATTTCCTGATCAGTTTTTCCCATGTAGTAATGCTGGCATGAGGCTCCGCATCTAACCACTCCAATGCAGCATCTCTCAATGTAAATGGAAATAGTCGTAATTTAATAGCATCTTCATTGACCCCCGGAGCATGGAAATTCTGACAATTTCTGAGAAATCTACAGATATGTGTGTTCGAATTCTCATGAGGTAGCCAGTAGAATTGTAGAGTGTTGCTCATCAAGTTAATCCAATCCGGCCTGATCTGAAAGTTATTCACCCCAAAATCTGGATACGCAATACTGGAGCGCATGGGTGCTGCTATAGGTGTTAGGAACATTGATACTGGCAAATCACCTTCATTTATTTCCCCTCGCTCATGCTGCTGTTCCGGTGGTGCCGCCACTCTTGCGGCCATTTGCCCAATCGGCTGAATAGGGATATGGATTTGTTGATTATCAGCCATTTGATGTTGCTGTTTTTGTTTGTGTTCCTTGCGTCTTCGTCTGAAGGTACGTTCTATCTCCGAATCAAACGGTTCAAGATCATCACCTTGGGCACAGAGCATACAACGAACACAATTTTCTATAATTAAAAGAAAAATAAACAAAAAATAACTGTCAAAATAAAAAAAATAAATTAAGACTAAAAGAAACAGTCCCCGGCAACGGCACCAAAAACTTGTTGTAGATTTTATCCCGCAAGTAAACGGATCGTAACAAGTAGTAAAGTGGACCTTTTGAGTCCAGATTATCATTCACACGGGGACTGTACTTTTAATGTCCAATTTATTATTTCTAACTTCTATTTGACGAAAATAAACAAAAACAATGACTAATTTTTATTCTAAAGACTTAAAAATGCGATTGGATGTAACGAAAAGTGATTGAAAATTCAAACAATAAATGGACGTTAGGACGGAACAATTTCACCTATTGGTCACCTTTACTTCATAAATCAAGATTCATAAAACCTAAGGTAGTGTTCGGTCGAATTCTTCTATTATATTCAACTTACCCCTCTCGAGTTCTCATTAAGCCTATTTAATTAGTTTAATTCCATATCTCTATGCAAATTAAATTTAATTAAACGAAACATTGGTTCTAAGAATTCACACACGACTGCAGCAATCAATATAGGTATCTCTACACGTTAATTAAATGTATTAAGAACAACATTAAAATCAACACATAAAATATAAAAGCACTAGAATCTCAATTGCATGAAATAAAGGATTCCAAAAGATTACATTGTTCGCCCTAAAATCAAATTTAACTACTCATAATAATGGAAGAAAAATAGGAAATTGTCTTATAATACATCATCGGATTTGTAATAAAGATGTAGAAGAAAAAGTGGAATTCTTGCACCAAGATCTCCTTCCTCTTCCAATGAATCTTCCAATCTTCAATTCTTAGTGTTAATCTTTTTGAATTTCTCCTTTGAGTCTCCCTTCTTGTTGTTTTCTCTCCAATATGTCAGGAACGAGGGGCTTGATCCCAAGGATTTTTAGTGTGCGGCTCCCCCCTAATTTAGGTCTTCCATTCTGTGTTTCTAATGTCTTGGAGTTTAGGAAAAGATTTGGAGATGAGTTGGGCCGAAAAAGAATGGTAAAAACCTAAAAAAATTACTCTCCCACTGCGGCGCCTGGGCGCTGCGATTTGGGCTCCTAGGCGCTGACTTTCTGTCAGCATCATGGCGCCTGGGCGTGAGGGATAGCGCCTGGGCACTGAGGACTACTTCGATTGCACTGGATAGCTTTCAATATTTTTATCATAACTTTTCTGTTCGATATCTGATTGAAGTGATTCAAGATGCATTGGAAAGCTAATTCAAAGGACTACAATTTTGCTTCAGGAATCATTCTCCAGTTCGATCGTTTTCTATGTCAAAAATGAGTCTAAATATGAGACGAAAACTCCAGCGCAAAACTTTTTGGTTGGAAAAATGATTAATGATCATATCTTGACTAAATTTGATCCCTTTGACACCTTCCTTCATCTAGTTGGCTTCTAGAACTCTTGGACCTTCATTTCAAGTTTCGACACGATTTTTGATTAATTGCATTTTAATCCTCGAACTTTGGATCTCTTACGTTTTGGTTATTTCATCCAATTTCGCTAGCTTTTGCCTATTTCCTTCTTTTAACCTCTTTTAGCTCTTGTTTTCTCCAATTCCATCAATCTACAAAATAACACCAAAATCACTTGTTAGCACTTCTAAAATACTCTCCAAAATAGCAAAATCATGAAATTAATGGCATAATATAATGAATGTAAATCACTCATCACAGAAGCTATAGATGCTCGCAATATTCTTTTGACGAGTAACTTTTCATTAGCCCCCTTCAATCCTAGCTATGTCATCAATCCCCTTTTTGAACAATTCTGGCCATCAGTGAAGCGCAAATTGTTTGCAACTGATGCCAATCATGCTTTCCATTCACTGGATCAGCGAAACATTTCTTCCACTTCTCTTGTTTTGGTTACCCCTATATCCATTAAGAGTCCTTCCTCCCCTGTTCATGCTAAACAGTCTGTTCATTCATCTACTTCTCTTCCTGCCAAGCCCACTGCAATTAAAAGTACCCCAAGCCGCAAACGGCCAGCCTTAGCATCTTCCATTTTGGAGGATGATGATGATGACACTCCTCTCATCGTCAGGAAAAAGGTAATTAAATTAGTTTACTCATAAGCATACCTTGTCTGGGCGAGAAGACTTTGCCATAACAGGTAAACCCATGGGAGCATCTGCAGAACTCAAAAAGCAACAAATTAAAAACCAATAGCATAAGCAAAAGTAAAATATCAAAAAATGTATTACCTTCTAATTCGACGTTTGGAGGGGGTTGACGCCCTGGGAAGAAGGTGGCTCATCCATTGGTTATTAGAGGATGGTGTAGCAGGAGCTGCCAATAAGTTTTGAACTAGTGATTCGGTATACTCATCATCACTTAACTTATGTTGCAAACACACTCTGATCAATTGCACATTAGTTTTCATAGGCAAAACGGCCTCCTGTCCATAAGTAAGTTGGAAAGGAGTGATTTTGGTACTTGACCAAGGCAACGTTCTATAAGCCCATAAGGCCTTGTCCAAACATTCGTGTCAATTTCTGGCATTTTCATCTATAATTTTTTTATGATATTTTTTAGAATCTTATTAAAAGAGTCTGCTTGTCCGTTGGATTGAGCGTAATATGGTGTGGAGTTCACTAATTTAACTCCAAACTCGCTCAAGAATTTATTCACTTGATCCCCATTTAAAGATGTTCCGTATCCACCATCAAGGTTTGTGGAATTCCAAATCTATAAATGATATGATCACGGATAAATTCTATGACATTCTTCTGGGTGATCTCTTTTAAAGATATCGCTTCTACCCACATAGTGAAAAAATAAGTTGCAATTATAACAAAGGTATGTTGCTTAGACGATGGGGGATAAATCTTCTCTATCAGATCCATCGTCCAACCTTTGAACGGTCAGGGTTTGGTAATAGGTGCCATTTCTTTTGCTGGCGCCCTTTGTATTGGATCATGCTTTTAGCATGCCAGACAACTCTTCGCATATTGAATACATGATTCTCCCATCTTGGGCCAAAAATATCAATTCCTAATAATTAACCTTCTCATCCTTTGGCCTGCTTGATGAGCTCCATATATTCCTTCATGCACTTCAGCCATGATCCTCCTGGTTTCTTGCAAACTTATACATTTTAGCAATATACCATCAGAGCGTTTCTTAAGCAACTCTTCATCTATCAGTGTATAGTTTAGCAAACGCAACTTCATTTTTCTACTATCTCTTTTATTAGGTTCTTTAAGGAACCTTTTAATCTCTGCCCTCCAATCTATTGCATTTCCATCTTGTATGCAATGAATTTCAATCGTTCTCGCCCTTTTTTGGATCACGGGCAATATTGTTCCATACTCACAAGTAGACTTCCAATTTAAAATCTTTGACTACCCTGAGGCCATCTGGGCCAATTCGTTTGATACGTCATTATATATCTTATTAACACATTGAAGCTCTATTTGGTCGAATTCTTCCAACAACTCTTAGGTGATTTCATATTGACTTATAATGGAATCACTTTGGCATTTAAAATCACCAATCAATTGGTGAATTACCAATTGAGAATCGCCTCTAATGATCACATTCTTTACCCCCATATCTATCATTAATTCTAGGCCCACGATTAAGGCTTCGTATTCGACCTGATTGTTGGTGCACATCCTGTCCAAAGTGAATGCAAACTTGTAACAAATCCCTAAAAGATTTATCAATGCTATTCCTACTCCTGCACCTTTAGAGGTTTTCGATCCATCGAAATATAAAACCCAAGGTTTTAATTCGAATAAATTGATCTCTAACTCAATTTCTTCAGGCATATCAAGACATGGATGATCGGTCAGAAAGTTAGCCAAAGCCTGATTTTTTACTGCCTTTTGGGGTATGTATTGTATTTCGGATTCTAATAAAGCTAATGTCCAAAGGCCTACCATTTGGTGTAAAATAGGGTAAGAGAACATATACTTAACCAAATTTACTTTTTGAACGGTTACGGACCATAAATAAGCCCTTAATTTTGTACATGTGAAATATAATGCAAAACATAATTTTTCAATAGCAGAATAATTACATTCATATTTTGTTAACCATCTACTCAAGTAGTAAATCGTCTTTTCTTCACCAAATTGGTCTTCCTGTGTGACCATTCCAGCGATTGACTCTTGTTCAGCCGATACATACACTTTCATTGGCCGATCTTGGATTGGTGACACCAACACTGGTGGACTTGATAAATATGTCTTTAGACTTTCAAAAGCCTTTTGATGCTCTTCTTTCCAGACGAATTCGTCCTAATTTTTCAACTTTAAAAGCGGCGAAAAAGCTTTAGTTTGCCCTGCACAGTTAGAAATAAAGCGTCTTAAAAAGTTTACTTGGCCTAGAAACCTTTGTAATTCTTTTTTGTTGCTAGGTGGTGTGGCCTCTAGAATGGCCTTCGCTTTATTTTTATCAAGTTCAATCTCCCTTTTGTGTACTAAGAAACCAAGAAAGTTCCCTGTATTAACACCAAATGCACATTTCAAGGTATTCAACTTTAGTTTATATTGCTTCATTCGTTCAAATGAACATCTTAATTGTTCAAAATGGTCCTCTTCTTTAATGGATTTGACCATTATATCATCTACATACACTTCAACAAACTTGCCTATCATATCATGAAAAATCAAATTCATTGCCCTTTGATAAGTTGCTCCTTCATTTTTCGCATAACTACTCATTCAAAACATCCTAGAGATCCAGGGCATCTAAAGGCAGTTTTGTGTATATCTATCTCAACTATATAAATTTGATTGTATCCTGAATACCCATCCATGAAGGAATACAATACATGTCCGGCAGTCGAGTCTACTAAAGAATCTACCGTGGGTATTGGATATTCATCTTTAGGTGTAGCTATATGTAGATTCCTAAAGTCTATGCACACCTTTAGTTTACCATTCTTTTTTAATACCGGCACGATATTGGACAACCATTTAACATATCTGGCCGTTCTAATAAAGCCTGCTTTTAATAATCGCTCTATTTTTTCCTTAATTTCAGGGAGTACATTAGGAGCGAAACGCCTAGGAGGTTACCTATAAGGTTTAAAATTAGGTTTGGTTGGTAACCTATGTTCTATCAAATCTCTATCTAAACCAGGCATATGTTCATATTCCCAAGCAAAACAATCTTTGTACTCCTTTAATAAAGCGATTAATTTATCACTAACCTCTTGATCGAGCATTTGGCTGATGAACGTTGGGTGATCTTCTCCTTCATTGCCAATATTCACTTTAATCAGGGGGTCTTGTGCTTGAGCCTATCCAAGTTTGGCGATCCTTATCACTTCGTCGTTCAGTTACCTTGTAGGCACTTCTTCTTCTAAAAAAATCCACCTTGTTGACTTCTCGGCCAATACTTTGTTCCAACTCAAACACTGCCAATTTGTCTCTCAATGCTTTCAAGGCTGCTTCTTCTTTCGTCTTGTCCTTGAATTCTTTATTGAAATTCATTAATTTAGCTTTGAAGGTCCGAATATCGGTTATTTGCCTTTGTTGCTTAGAACTCATTCAAAACTCCTTGATTATTCTTTTGCCAATTACTGGCTCCTCTAGGGCCACTATATTTGGCCTCATCTGACTGAACATTTCAGTGACTGCATCCATCGAAAACGTCTCTTCACTTTGCGCGACAATCTGAGTTTCTTCTCCATCTTGGACTACTTTGACCGGTCCATAATTTCCTTCGTACATGAACATTTCCACTGAGTTTGCTTCTGTGACAAAAGACCTATGATCGACCTGCACCACCTCTACTTCGCCCTTGTCATTCCACAAAACTAGACATTGATGGAGCGATGAGGGTATATAGTGACTTCCGTGTATCCAATCTCTTTCTAATAACACATTGTAACTAGTGGAACCATCTATTACAAAGAAGACTATGGTCATAGTAGTTGTTTCTATAGTTATGTCTAATGGTATAACCCCTTTAGTTAAAGTTGCTCCTCCATTGAAACTTGTCAGGATGACTTCCGTTGTGATCATATCAACTTCTGTCTTTGCGAATTTCCTCATCATCCTAGATGGAATGGTGTTTATAGCTGCTCCATTATCGACAAGCACTTTTGTCACAGGTATGCCGTTAACTAGAGCTTTAACATACAATGGCCTCAAGTGTTTGGTCAATTTCATGGCTGGTCGCTTAAAAATGACCTTTTCGACAGCATCTATTTCCACTTCCTGCTTGTCCTCTGTCGAGTTACCTTTTTGTGATAAGTCAACATGCAGTTTATCGTACTGAGCCTCTGTCTCCAGAATTTCTTTTTTACCGTTTTCTAATGCTTCTTCTTCAGTTACCCAACCTGTGGGAGGAGGCATTATTCTTGGAGGTGATCCATACTTTTCAGAGTGAGACACTCTCTTCTTCCTTTTGGGCGTCCCGTACAACACTTAATAATCGAAAGAACGCCCTGATAGTTCTCCCAATAAGTCTACTTCATGAACTCCCTCTCGATGTAGTTGCTTCAACAGAGTATTGTACGATACTCCTCTTCTTCTTCTTTCTGCTTCCAGATCGATTTCCTCTTCGATGTCTGTCACACCATCATCTTCTTCACCATTGTAAGCCTCTCTAGAAGTTTGGCCTTCTTCATATTCCAGCATGCATGTTTCCTCTTCATTATCCTCCTTTTCTTCTTCTCCCTTCTCTTTATTCTTGAACTCATTGACTAGTAAATAGTTATTAGCCACGACAGGAGGTAACGTACCAAACTGAATAGTAAGGGGCTGAACTGGATCTTCTCCATTCCTTCTGTCTCGCTCAAACTTCGACCTCCCAGAAGAAGTCTTTGATAATTCCTCCATAGGTTCGCCTGTACCAGTCTCTTCACTGTCTTTGATAACATTTTGATTGGCTACCTCGAGTAGTCTAGGTGCCTTAGGGTGTAGCATTCCTTGTTGTTGCCTCATCATTCGCCCATAGTTCCGTTGAAAATGCCTTTGTTGGGTTCTAGTCATCTCGTTGAAAGGTATCACCCTTCCAGCCTTATACTTGAACGAATGCCATACATTTAGTTGGCGAGGTTGCGATTTGAATGTTATCCCATTATTTACTGGACTGAATTGCCTCTCAAAAGGAGGTTCCTTATAGAACGATGTACCCCGTCCTCTACCAGGCTGAGCATTTGGGCAAAAACTA